AATTTACGACAAGTGTTCTGAAGTGAAATAACCTAAAAGTGTACGAAACCACATTTGTATAAATAAATTCATGTTGTAAGTTGCATGTTGCATGTTGCATGTTCAAGCTTAGTAAGTAACATGCAACAAAATATTTTACACATTTTGAAATTTCTTTTCAATTTTACGACAAATTTGTTAAGTGTAAGTTGTGCTGTTTACAATCAAGTTGCGATTGTCCCCAGGCCCCCCGCCAAGCCTGATACTCTGGGTACTGTCTTCATTGCGATTTTCCAACAAAAATTGAGGTTAAACATATATGTATACTATCCAAAATTCTCAAACGTTCTCAGAACTATTTCACTTTACTGTGGTATAGAGACTCGAAAACCCAGAGTTTGCTTCTCTCTTCTCCATAGCTCCCGGTATGTTTATATAATTCACAGTACTAGCTACGAACATGCTTCATATGACTTAAATACAACACTGCAGTGAATATACATATATGTATTGGTATAACATCTCAAATAAGGTGTTAGTCTAGAATGTACTAAATTCCCTCAGCAATCGGAAAGGATTATATATTTCAGTATTATTGTTTATAGAATCCAGAAATGCCATACTCTGTTGTAAGATGTACTTCTATTAAAAGAAATATCAATAGGAAACTATTAGTATGTTTGCTTTAGATATCAATATAGTTTAACAAGAGTGTCCCTGATCTAAATCAAAGCAATCAAATCATATTTTATGAACACATGAATGCATCGTGTCTTGGAAACTGTGGAATATTTCTAGTTTCAATTCTTACTCAATTCAAAATGAAGACTGATAACTCAAATGTGTATTTGCGTTACTCTTCATTTTGAATTCAATATCTGAATCGTTAATAAGAATTCTTACAATTGAGATAAGTTTTCTCGGTTTGCAATATAATAATGATTAAGACGGATTGCTGTTCAAATGCTTCATTAGCATCATCTTGTCACCCATTATGAACAGGAAATGCCCTAGCAACATACATTCAAGGTAGAAAAGAAAAAAGGTTGTTAAAAAAGCTAACAATAATATATTCCTGTGTCTTTTTTGTTTCAAATAAATTCGTATTTTTCTTTGGAAACACTATTGAAATAATAGAATAGCTCCTCAATTACCAGGAAAAAAATTGAGTGTTATTTGGGTTTTGAGTTCTCAAACGCATAAGAAGGCTTCCATTATTTGAGTTTCCTTAATTATCGTCTGGATGGCTCACTTATATCTGGAACGTTCTAGTACTAGTGATTCTCGTTCTGAATGTGCTTAGTGACCTGGCACTAACATAACCGGTTGGAGACAACACTTGAAAACATGGCAATTCACCTGTTTGATCTTATTTTCAGCTACTGAACATGAGCGATTGGATGGAAAACCTTTGAGCATTTGATAGTTGAGCTCGGCAGGACAAAAACTACCAAGCAACGTAGTAAATTGAAAAGTAAGTAAATTATAAAACTTGGTGTCATATTTTAAGCACTATATTGTATGTATGTTTGAGGACTTGAATTTACAACAAGGTAAAAAGATAAGAAGATTTCCCAATTATAATTTTAGAATACACTTATATAAACATATTGTTTGCAACACACTTATATACAACATACACACACACACTTATATATATATTTTTCCTTACTTAGTTTTTTCAAAGTCACAGTCGCTATAAAATCAATCGAAGCTTATAAATTTATGAATTTATTATAAGGGAAAAAATATAGGTTACCTATTTAACTAATTATATATCATATTATACACTATATATATTGTTTTACTTACATTTCTAAATTCTGCAAAATATTTTCCAAATGACAATGAAAATGGGATTTAAATATTTTTAAAGACACGCTCACCCGGCAGGAAGGTATTTTGTCAAGCTCGGTCTTGCTGTTGATTGAGCAGATGTTATCTATGTAGATCCCTTGCATATAGGTTTTCGCGTACAATACTAGAACTGTCTGAAGCTCTGATTTAATTTCTAAATCTCAATAGGTCAACACGAATTTTTGTAGTTGATAAAGACGCTACTACTGATATCCAATCAATATTATTTGAATGTAAGTTGATAAAATAATGCAGTCGTGTTTGTTTAATGCTGAACACTAGATAAACGACATTGTGACTAATATATTGAGTATCCAACGACAAAATACATTATTTTTAAGTGTACGAAGTTGATTAAGTAAAGACAATTGTACATATCAATGATATCTTCCTCACAAACGATATCGCTTTCGTCTGGTGCACCACTGAATCCATTCTGATCCAGAATCTGGTTAATTCTAGTAAATCCTATTAGTAAACAAATTAAATTGTACGTATAAATATTAGATCAAATGTCTTCACGTTCGCTCGAGACAAGTGTTTATTTTGTTGCCAGAAGAAACCTTTGTGTTTGAAGAAGAAATCTGTTTGTTTTGTATTTCAATCTTGTCGGTACACAGCGGTGCCCATGTAATCGAAATATGTGAGGAAAAAAGCTGGGTCGAGTTGGCACATTGCATTCAGATTGTGGAATTTTTTTAGGGAACAAATTTCCAAGCTAGAGTCTATTTCTTTAGTGTCCTCAGACAGTCCCACAATGCACTGCAATGTCATCTCGACCCAGCTTTTTTCTCAAACTCGGAATGGCTTATCAAAAAGTCGATCTGCTAAAATGACTAAAATTTTAATTCTGTCTGACCATGAATCGCAGTAGACGAATTAGCAATGAGTAGCCGGATATTTCTAGCATATCATATAAAAAATAAGATAACGTATGAGGAGACCAAGTGTCCAGGAAGGCCTCAGAATTTTTTTTTTTTTTTTCAATTGAACGACAAAGTGTTTATCAAAGAAATATCAAATGCACGCATATCTCTGTACTTGTACTATAACCAATAAGTGCGCGTGCACGCGTTTTATGAAAAAATTGCTCTATCCACTTAATCAGTACGCGAATCATATTTCCAATATATTTCATAAATGATAACAAGGCCGATCGAATATCAAGGAGTTCAGCTCTCAGTCTTTCGTCAAGCTTATTTCTGTCAATACAAAATGGCGACTGAATCAAAAATATATTTGAGTTCGTTTATTATTGGAATCACTTCAATCCAAGAAGATTCTATGGAACTGGAATCTTTTTTTGTTGCTGTTGTTACTCAGTTGATTGAAAAGCATTGCGGTCACAATCGAAACTTGTCAAGAAAAAAAACTTGTTTATCAGCTACGAGAGCATCGTGTCCATAAAAATATATCAAGGAAAACTTACCGTTTACATGAAAGATGAGTACTTGTGAAGGTAAACTTGCTTGTGTAGACGCAGCTTAATGAAGTCAAATTCTACCACACTTGTCCGTTAGTCCGGCCTGATACATGTAGGTTATCAATGTGTATCTGTATACACTACTGTCGATAGACCAAAATAAGTCAATGGTTAATATATAACTCTGACATATAACTTAGCAATTAGAATGAACTTAGAAGTAAAACAAAAATAAGAACAAATAAGAAATTTCAATACTACAGGATATGGTTGGATGGACGGATACACGGACGGATGTACCGATAAAAACAAATTACAAGAAAGGAAAACAGAACTAGAAATTAAATATAAAAGTTTAATTTATTATTTTAATCATTTTGTAATTACTTCATTTTAGTCTGGATTCATTTTGGCTCACTTCTTCTACACACTTTCACTACCACTCATTCAACGTTTTGAGCGTTTGATTTGTGTTTGTTCTGTTATTAAAATATCTGTTTATTTTACATTTAATCTATTAGAAGGTAATATCTTGTAATTATAAATTTATTGCCTATGTAATTTTAAAGTATTTAGCATCTTAGTTTTCTCGGCTTTCGTGAAAAACGATTTGTAAATCATATGAAACTTTTTTGAAGGTTGAATAAAGCCCTCACTCTCCCTCTCCCTCTCTCCCTATCTCTTGACCTTGCAAAAGCTTTTGACTTTGTTTCGCATTTTTTATCTTGCAAATGTGACAGAGTCAAAAGACACTATTTTGGACAGTAATTATTTAGTCATAAATCTATATTTTTAATTAGGAATGCCTCGTGTACACATAGGAATGTAATTCTTTAGTTAACTGTTTGCGTGGAAAATGCGTAAGCAAGAAATAATTTCCGTAC